AAGTGAGTGACTCAAAAAGTCCCCTCGGAGGGAGAGAGTGCGGGCGGGTGAGAGGGAGAAGGATGGGCTGGTGGTGCAGGTGGAGAGGGTGAGGAAGAGCGAGGAGGAGGCGCAGCGGGAGGTTGGCGTGCTCATGCAGAAGCTCGACAGCGTCGCTGCTCAGGTGAGCTTCAGGTGGTTCTTCAGGTGTTTTTTCATGTGGATGGGAGCGGCAGGTGTCATTCAGGTTTCTCTCTCGCCCCCTCCATCACCGCTCCATTCCTGTCCAAGGCAGCGGAGCAGGTGGAGGGAGCAATTGTCATAATGCGAGCACAGGTGGACGTGCTTCAAGCAGAGCTGGCAGCGGCGAAGCAGACCGCCGAGGCAGCAAGCGAGCGCTCCTCCTTCCTCCTGCGCCAGATGGAGCTCATCAAAGACTTTTTCAAATCCCTGTCTGGCCCTCAGCGAAGACTTTCTCTCTGGCTTCCCCTCTCTTGCTGCCTCTTCTCCCTGCACAGTCCAAGGCAGCGGAGCAGGTGGAGGGAGCAATTGTCATAATGCGAGCACAGGTGGACGTGCTTCAATCCGAGCTGGCAGCAGCGAAGCAGACAGCCGAGGCTGCAAGCGAGCGCTCCTCGTTCCTCCTTCGCCAGATGGAGTTAATTAAGTCTCGCCAGCAGCAGAAGCTGGATGCTGCTGTTGCCGAGGCGGTTTCGGCTGAGCAGAAGAAGAGTGGTGCTAGCCCCGTTGCTTCTAACGCAGAGGCTATTATGGAGGCGGCGGTTGAGAAGCTGCAGAAGCAGCTCGCGGAGGCTCGGGCCGAGGCTGAGGCAGCTTCGGAGAACGTGTCGAAGCTGGAGGGGAGGGTTGGGCAGCTGCAGGCGAAGGAGAAGGAGGCGAAGGTGCTGCTGGGCCGGGCAGATGAGAAGATTTCGGACCTGTTTGTGCAGCTGTCGGCTGCCCGGGAAAAGGAGAAGGTGGAGGCAAAGGCTCTCATGAAGGCTCGGGTGGAGCTTGGGGAACTTTCCGGGAAGGTTACGAAGCTGGAGGTGGAGTTAAAGGAGAAAGAAGCTATGGTGGGAGGCGTGGGGATGGGCGTTGGTGCTGCTGCTACTAAGATGGTGGTTGACTTGTCTAAGGGAGCGAAAGAGCTGCATAGCAGGTGAGAGAGGGAGAGGGCGAGGGGAGAGTGTGATTGAGTAATGCATGTAAATCCTTCCTCCCGTTTCTCCTCCTCACCGCCCCTCCCCACATTTCTCTATCTCCCCAAGCAGGCGTCAGGATCAGGTCGCCCGCCTGGGGCAGGGCATGGCTGGTAGGCATGAAGCAGGGCATGGCTGGTAGGCATGAAGCAGGGCATGGCTGGTAGGCATGAAGCAGGGCATGGCTGACAGGCATGTATAATGTGCAAATGCACTCTCGCTTCCTCTTCCCCCCGTCCCTCCATTCTCCCCAACCCCCGTCCTCCCCTCCCCCAGCAGGCTTCAGGATCAGGTCGCCCGCCTGCCTGGGGCAGGGCATGGCTGGCAGGCATGAAGCAGGGCATGGCATGGTGTGATCAAAACAAGTGGAGAATGTGCAAATGCGCTCCTTCTCTTGCTCTTCTTCTCCTCCATCCTCCCGTCCCACCATCCTCCCCTCCCCCAGCAGGCTTCAGGACTCGGTCGCCCGCCTGGGGCAGAGTGTGACTGCCAAGTCCGCTGCATCAACTGTTCCTGATAAGGTGAGAGGGTGATTTGTTTGGGCGTGACTAGGGCAGGGCGTGTCTGGGGTGACGTGAGCGTGACTAGGGCAGCTCTCCGAGTCATGTGTGAAGAGGCGATTTTTGAGTCGACTCAAAAAGTGACGTGAGCGTGACTAGGGCAGCTCTCCGAGTCATGCTCACGTGATAAAAGTTGAGTTTTGAGACGTCACCACTGCAATCCTTCTTCTCACCTCCTGCACTGCACCCCAAAAAATCTGCGGGAGGAGAAAAAATCATAGCAGCAGCAGCCAGCCTTCGGGAAGCAGTCAAGGCACGAAACACTCCGGCTGCTGCTGCTGCTACTGCTTTTGATATTCCTCCTGGTTCCCTCTCTCCTTGTCCCCTCTTTTGTTGTATCCCCAGTGCACCTCCAGGAGGAGCAGGAGATCGTTGCAGCAGCAGCAGCTAACCTGCGGAAATTTTTGAGTCGACTAAAAAAAAACATTTCTTTTCCGCTCTTCCCATTTTTTTCCAAACTCCCACCCGTTCTGCACCTGAATCAACCCCCAGGAGGAGCAGGAGATCATCGCAGCAGCGGCCAACCTGCGGGAGGCAGTGGAAGCACTCAACACCCCGGCAACCAATGGCAGCGCCACCAGCCCCTCCTCGCTCCGCTCATTCGGCGATGCTGTCGAGTTTGACTCCAAATCTCCTAACGATGTTCTCTCCCTTGTTCTTTGCCTTCCTCGTTGAATTTGCAGGAGGAGGAGGAAAGTATTGCAGCAGCGGCCAACCCCTCATCTGAATTTTCCCCCTCGTTCTCCCTTGTTCTTCCCCTCTCAATTGACTTGCAGGAGGAACAGGAGATCATCGCAGCAGCGGCCAACCTGAGGGAAGCAGTTGATGCGCTCAACACCCCGGCTGGTGTTGTTGATACCCCTGTAATCTCTTCCCCTCTCCGCCCCTCTTGCACCCCCCATGCGAACCTCCAGGAGGAGCTGGAGATCATTGCAGCAGCGGCAAATTTGAGGGAATCAGTGGAAGCACTCAACACCCCAGCTCCCAATGGCAGTGCCACCAACCCCTCTCCCTTGTATTTTCCCTTCCCAGATAAATGTGCAGGAGGAGCAGGAGATCATAGCAGCAGCGGCCAACCTCCGAGAAGCAGTTGATGCGCTCAACACCCCGGCTGCTGCTGTTGATACCCCTGTAACCTCTTCCCCTCTCCGGCCCTCTTGCACCCCCCATGCGCTGCAGGAGGAGCAGGAGATCATCGCAGCAGCAGCCAACCTCCGAGAAGCAGTTGATGCGCTTAACACCCCAGCTACCAATGGCAGTGCCACCAACCCCTCCTCGCTTCGCTCTTTCGACGATGCTGTTCAGTTTGACTCCAAGTCTCCTGAAGCTGTGCCCGTACCTGCCAAGTATCGCAACTCTAACTGATTACTGAGTCCTGTCAAAAGGCAGTGCGGGTTGCAGCCCTGGCATCGAAATCCCGACTGATGTTGCCGTCTGGTCAAGAAGCAGAGCGGTGGAGAGCAGTACTCATTGAGAAGCATCGAGTTGTGGGCTGATTATTTAGTCGACTCGTGAAGCCGTGCTGGAGTTGGCATTTGTTAATAACCATACCGGGACGGACGCCGATTGGTTCTGATGTCCGACCTTCTGCAATGCTCCTGGCGTTCTGATTTGATTCTGCATGCAAGACCTATTCTTACGTGGCCGCTTGGCAACTATCCGAACGTCGAGTGTGATTGGATTCTCCTGCAGTGCTCAATTGGGCACGCCCATTTCTGAGGCGCCTCAAATCAGACCCCCTCAGGCGAGCCTCTAATTTGAGCTCCTTGTGCATCTCCCAAGTACCGGTACTGCTGCTGTGTACATGGATGCAGTCTTGTGGGGGAGGCATGTGTTTTGAGTGAGCTGGCCCTCCCTTTCATGAAGGTCGAGGTTGAGTGAGACGTACGACCATCATCACCATCCCACCACCACCACTGCACACCATGATCACCGCCATATCACCAACCATCACTATCAGGTTACCAGGTTACTAGGCTACCAGGCTACCAGGCTACCAGGCTACCAGGTTACCAGGTTACCAGGTTACCAGGTTACCAGGCTACCACCCCCCAATCATGCCATGCCACCCGATCATCAACCATCACCACCATCAATACCCCCACCTCCCATGCCATCGTGTTCAGTTCCGTACTTACGGTTGATCTCTCACCTCCTAAAGCATACGATTTTCTCCCTTATCATTTTGATTCTCCTCCTTTTTGTTACATACTGGTACCCCCCCAACCCAACTCCGTGTTTTGGGTTGGATTGAGAGACAATCAATGTGTGAAAGGGGGCTTTATACATGTTTTCAACCCTCGAGAGTCAAGAGCCTTGTGCAGACTTTATACTCCTGTTTTTTATTCCTTTCAAACGCTGAAGCGTGCTGCTTTTTGCCACTGCTGCTGTTGCTTCTAGTGCAACTTTCTGTATGCACCATTGTGCACCTTTTGGTTTTGTTAGTGGAGAATGTTAATTATAGTAGGTAGGGATGAAATTCTACCAAGCGTACAAACTGTAGGCCAAGGGTACCAAGTTAAAAAGCTGTATAGAAGAAGCCAATCAATGGTTTCCAGATGGTAAAACTCGGAACTTGCAACAGCATGCCTTAAGTATGTGTTTGCTTGCACCATTCTGCTATGAAGAAGTCAATAACTCATACTGGTACATTCTCCAACATAAGGCATGAATCTTTTTGATTTCCTGCCTTTCAACTATCATCATCACCCACTGTACACTCGCTCGTTCCAACCTTCTCCAAGTCCTTCCGCCTCTCTACAAGCACACTCGCTTCAGGCCTCTTGTTCCTCTTATCATTCAAGCAATGCTTTGCCAAAACCACCAACCCTACGGCCGACTTCCTCCCGAACCTGCCTTCCAGCCTCGGATCGATAAACTTGTCTAGGCTCGGCTCAGGGTTGTCAAAGTAGGGTCGGATTTGGTAGACAAGGTAAGTGGAAGACTCGGGTTCGAATGGAGGCCGGCCTGTTAGTAACTCTAGCAGGATTATTCCAAAGGAGTACACGTCACTGGTGGGAGCCAGGTGGCCTGAAGAAGGGGAGATGAGATGAGAGGGAAGAGAGAGGGTGGGGAAGGGGGAGAGAGGAAGAGGTAAGACAAGGGAAGTGGAAGATTCGGCTTCGGCAAAAGAAAGGGTGTGGAAGAGGCAAGGGAAGTGGACGATTCGGATTCGGCAAAAGAAAGGGTGTGGAAGAGGCAAGGGAAGTGGACGATTCGGATTCGAATGGAGGCCTGCCGGTTAGTAGCTCAAGCAGGATTATTTCAAAGGAATAAACATCACTGGTGGGAGCGAGGTGGCCTGAAGAGGGGGAGACGAGAGAAAGGGAGAGGGTGGAGAGAAGACAAGGTAAGTGGACGATTCGGGTTCGAATGGAGGTCGGCGGGTTAGTAGCTCTAGCAGGATTATTCCAAAGGAATAAACGTCACTGGTGGGGGCGAGGTGGCCTGAAGAGGGGGAGAAGAGAGAGAAGAGAGAGGGTGGGGGATTGAGAAATGAGATTACTTCTAAGGCGCTCAAGATTCGGGTTCAAATGGAGGCCGGCCTGTTAGTAGCTCTAGCAGGATTATTCCAAAGGAATAAACGTCACTGGTGGGAGCCAGGTGGCCTGAAGAGGGGGAGAAGAGAGTGAAGAGAGAGGGTGGAGAGAAGGCAAGGTAAGTGGATGACTCGGTTTCGAATGGAGGCCGGCCGGTTAATAGCTCCAACAGGATAATTCCGAAGGAATAAACGTCACTGGTGGGAGCCAGGTGGCCTGAAGACGGGGGGATGAGGGGGTGAAAAGAGGAGTGAAATATGTCACTGGTAAGTGTGAAGTCAAGTTTGGATAGGACTGGTGAATGTCACTGGTATGAGCTATGTGGTCTAACGAGGGGGGGAGTAGGTTGTGCTGTCATATGCAGGTGATTGGAGCAGAGGAGAGGAGCAACGGAGAAGAGAAAACTATGGCTTAGCAAGACCCACAAAAATCACTCAATTCACTTGTGCTGAACAAACCACAAAACAAACACCAGTGCTCACTTCCTTACACCACAACCCTTATTGCCTCAACACTCCCTTATGCCCCAACCCTTAATGCCTCTGCGTCCTTCTGTTGACATACCAGTGTCCATGTATTCGGGGTCTAAATACCCCAAAGTCCCCTTTATTTGAGTGGAAACATGCGTCTTCCCCTCCTCTGGGCCCGCCCTCGCCATTCCAAAGTCTGTCAACCTGGCGCGCATGTGCTGAAGGGGAGTGGATGAGTGGGGGAAGAGGGGAGGGAGGGGAGAGGGAGAAGATTAAAAGAGGTTCTACTTGAGACGCCAAGATACCCTCTGCTGCCCTGCCCCCAACTGCCCCAAGCTCTCCTCTGCTGCCCTCTGCTGTCCTCTGCTGATCCCAGTTGTCCCCAGCAACACACACACTACCACTACTAGCCACCTATCAAGTTGCCTCTCCTGATCTAGCAGGATTTTGCACGACTTGAGGTCCCTGTGAATGATGTTCCACCCGTGCAGATACGCCAGGCCCTGTGGTGCCCCCACAGCGATCTGAATCCTCTGCTGCCCTCTGCTGATCCTAGCTGGCCCCAGCAGCACACACACACCACTACCCACCCAATTGAGTAGGCATACCTGGTCTAACAGGATGTTGCACGACTTGAGATCCCGGTGGATGATGTCCGACCTGTGCAGATATGCCAGGCCCTTGTGCTGCCTGCCCTGCCCCCAACAACTCACACACTACCCACACAAACTAGTAGGCATACCTGGTCTAACAGGATGTTGCACGACTTGAGATCCCCGTGAATGATGTTCAACCCGTGCAGATATGCCAGGCCCTTGTGCTGCCCCCAACTGGCTCCAGTAACTAGCCAATCTCATCTCATGCTTACTGTCAAGCACTTCAGGTATTCTCACCTGGTCTAAGAGGATATTGCACGACTTGAGATCTCGGTGAATGATGTTTGAACCGTGCAGGTACGCCAGGCCCTGTGCTGCCCCCACAGCGATCTGTATTCTCTGCTGCCACGTCAGCACAGGGCGGGGCGAGTCTGTGACGTGGCGGGGGTTGATAGGAGGATGAGGGTGGATGAGAGGAGAGAGAAAAGATGCGAGGATGGGGGGGAGGGAAGACTAGAGGTTGTGTGAGAGAGAATGAGAGGTGGGGTGAGGAGCTGGGGAGAGGGGGAATGAGAGGATCGGGGGTTGAGTGGGAGGGCGGGCAAAAGGGGGGAGGGAGAAGGACAACGGAGAGCGTGAGGTGAGGGGAGGGGAGGTGGGAGAGTGGGGGAAAGGGAGGAGATGGTAGGGTGGTAAGAAAGGAGGGGATAGGGTGGGTGGGGGACAGGAATGTACGTGTGGGTGAGTGCATGTGGATGATGCATGCCCCACCTTGCATGCGCCATGTATCCAGCCAGCCCCATGCGGCATCAGCGCATACACCAGCATCGCCTGGTTCTTCTGCGAGCAACCACATCTGCCTATGTGCGTGTGAGCGCGTGTGCGTGTGTGTGTGGGCATGCGGCATGCCTCACCTTGCAGTAACCATGTGTCCAGCCAGCCCCATGTGGCATCAGCGCATACACCAGCATCGCCTGGTTCCCCTGAGAGCAACCACATATGCCTATGTGCGTGTGAGTGTGTGCGTGTGTGTTTGTGTCTGTGCCCTGCCCACCTTGCAGTAACCACGTATCCAGCCCCCCATGCGGCATCAGTGCATACACCAGCATCGCCTGGTTCTTCTGGGAACAGTATCCGATCAGATTCACCAAGTTGGGGTGTTTCAGCCTTCCCAGCAGCAGAAGCTCGGCCTGTGGCATGACAAATGTGACCGTGGAGGGGAAGGGTTGGAAAATACAAACCAGGTTCATTGGAATCAAATTCTTTACATGTATAATTACATATCATTTTTGTAACTAGCAGCATTCGTAATTTCATATCATCCCGTTATTAGCATCCCCGACACACTCACCATCCACTCCGTCATTCCTTGAACGCTCTCTTCGTGAAGCACTTTAATCGCCACCTCCATCTTGCTATCCGCTTTACTGCCTTTCGCTTTGCCACCATCCCCCTTATCACAATCCGCGTTAGTAGCATCCGCTTTACTGTCATCCCCGTTACTATCCTCCTGCCAATCTTCAGCTCCTACTCCAGACACCTTCCCTCGGTAAACTTTCCCGAAGCTGCCTTCCCCCAAAACGCGGCTCGACTGGAACTTATTAGTAGCCGCCGACAGCTCCTTATAAGAGAAAGCTATGAGGCCAGAACCGCCAGAACCATCGAAACCGGATAGCCGCGAGCCCTTAGGCTTTCCGCGTGGGCTGGAAAAGCCGCTACTAGTCTTCCCGCGTGGGCTGGAAAAGCCGTTACTAATAAATTTAAACATCGCTTACGTCGCGACGAGCGGCCTATCACTACAAGTGACGGTGTAAAAGCGACAAGACTAGCCTCCTAAGCCTCGCGCGTTTCTCGTGTATAAAATAGCGTGATACTGGGCTGGCGGGTGATGGTTGTGTCGATTTTGAGTCGCCTAGACTCGATGTTGGCGTGATATTTGGGGCGGCGCGTAAGGTTGTGGTTGAATGATTATTTATCAGTAACTGAAGACGACACCTAGCTTTTGATTAATTCTCATTAGTGACTCCAATCTTATCGACTGGTTCCCTCAATTCGCATAGTATTGTGCTCTACAAGAGCCCAGCCTATGCTTGAAGCTACACAGATAGTACTGTCAGGTTGAACCGTGTCGCGGAATTAGGCGGGCAGGACCATACAGGACCGGGACTCAGCGTATCTAACTACCGCATTGTCAACTCTCGAACCTTAGACAGAGGCTGGATAGCAGCTCACAATCAAATTGTCAGCTTTTGAAATTATCCATGCTCTTCAGCGTATGGAGTGCCTTCCAATCACATCCACGCTAGAATAGCATCAGTCAACCTATAAAACGCTGTCTCCTCATTTCTCCATCAGCATAGTGTGGTTGAGGAAAGAAGAGAGACGAAACCTGCAAACCAAGATAACTAACGCCGAGCAGAAGTGCCCTGATAGTGTCCGTCCGACACCTGCATTCATGCAAACCAAAACATCACTACGGTAAGCAGCAGTGGCACTCGCAGCAAATGGAGCAGAGGTTCTGGTGGGCCGTGAAATGTTTTGACGACTCCCGAGCAAGCATCGTTGACTGGGGTCTAAATGTGAGTGACTTGATCGCCACGGACCGAACCAAATCGTTTAGCAGCAGGCCAAACCGAGTGAGGCCCAAGTACCAGCCAAACCAGCCCGAGCTGACCCACAAATATCCAGGCTGAACCCATTGGAGCTGAGCCCGAATCAAGATGAGCAGAACCGGGCCGAGGCGAGCCAAAAGTTTGGTGGCGGGCAGGTGAATTCGAGGGGAAGGTCGTTTTCCTTGCGTCGTGACTCGTGCCATCTGACTCGCTGGTTGGTTCTCACAACAAGTAAATACGTGGTATACAATTATGCAAATTTGTAGTTGAGAACTCCTCTGTTCGGTAGGATGAAAATTCACTAACGAGGATTTGCACTTTCCCGTTCCATCCCACACCGTCCTGCTCTGGCTAGGTGCTCAGCAAGGTGTGTCGTGCGTCTTAGTTCGATGTGCCGCCGATTAGCGACGGCGTGTGTTTCTAGTAGCGTAGGCGATTGGGAGCAAATGCAGGTTGACGATTAACTCATAGGTTGACGATTAACTCATAGCACCAGAGGGACGAGAGAGAAATTTTACGTGGCGAGTGTGGCAGCAAGGCAGAGATTTGTGTTGACGTGAGGAGCATCGTAGCGTACGCGACTGGTGATCGTGAAGCGAAGCGGCCATTTCTCGTGCGCGGATAACGAAGGAGTTTTCCTAAATCACGGCAGCTACACCGTTGACGAAGTCCTGCTTCTCGTGCGCGGATGGCGAAGGAGTTTGCGGAATTCATGGAGAGGTAGTATTTCCGAGGCGCCAAAAATTCATGTATTTCTGCCTAATTTGATTTGTAGAGAAGTACCTGTGTCCCTGGAATGATCCCTCTCCTCATCTAGAACAATTGTCTCATCTAGACCACAGCTCCGGATTGTTGGAGAGGTATCGCTGTCGCACCAATTGTCTTACAACACGCCCTTTCCCGCATCCTGGTGGCCAATAGTATCGCTCCTCTCACTTCCCTCTCACCGTTTCTCTGCTTCTCCTCTCTCATCTCTCCCCTCTCGCCAACAGCTTCGAGGTGGCAGAGGCTTTCCACAGGAGGGGAACTGCTGCACTCTCGTCCTTCCAAACAGCGCACGGTATGGTATGGTGTGGGATGGTGTGGTGTGGTGTGGTGTGGTGTGGTGTAGTGTGGTATGGTGTGGCTTGTTGTATGGTATGGCATGTAGTACGGCATGGTATATCGTAAGTAGGTATGGTATGGTATGACATGTGGTAAGGGATGGTGCATTTCATGCCTTTTGGGCACTGCCCATGGCCCAGTTGGTACTGACTGCGCATGGGATAGATAGTGGGTAACGGTGTAATACAGTGGGTGTGCTGTTTATAATGTCATGGCACACTGTTCATGCCATCACTCATGGTATCACTCATCCGCTGAAGCCATCTCAGAGGCCTTCTCGTGTAAAACATCCTCGCATCCCTCCCTCCCTCCCTCCCTCCCTCCCTCCCTCCCTCCCTCCCTCCCTCCCTCCCTCCCTCCCTCCCTCCCTCCCTCCCTCCCCCCACCCGTCCCCGCCCCCACCATCCATGGTATCATAGCAGTTCCATAGCTCATCCGTTGAAGCCATCTCAGGTTCCCCTCGAGTGTCAAGCATCCTCGCTTCCTTCCAGACCTCCTCACCTCCTTCTGCCTGTTCCCCCCTCCCTTCCCTTAGCTCCCATCCCTTCTCCCCCCATCTCCGCTTCTTCCCCCAAATCGCAACCACCCCCACCATCCATGGTATCAGAGCAGTTCCACCGCTCATCCGCTGAAGTGATCTCAGAGTCCCCTCTCGTATCGGGCATCCTTGCCTCCTTCCAATCCTCCTCACCTGTACCCGACCCGGCCAGAGCGCCAACAGCATCAGCACCAGCACCAGCACCAGCACCAGCACCAGCACCAGCACCAGCACCAGCACCATCACCAGCACCAGCACCATCACCATCACCATCACCATCACCAGCACCAGCACCAGCACCAGCACCAGCACCAGCACCAGCACCAGCACCATCACCAGCACCACCACTATCAGCATCAGCATCGTCATTCCCATCGCCTCTGGCTGAATACATGGCTGCAGGCTGCACTCGCCCGTCCAAGCAACAAACAGCAGCTGTCACATGTACGTTCCAACACTTTTACACCATCGCTGTCACCAGCACCAGCACCACCACTACCATCATCAACATCAGCAGCATCACGCTCATCGTCGCTGGCTGAATACATGGCTGCTGGCTGCACTCGCCCATCCAAGCAACAGCAAGCTGCTGCCAGCAGCATCCGCATCACCATCATCACTGCTGGCTGCACTCGCATCACATCACCACCAGCACCATCACCAGCATCAGCACCATGTATATCTGTTGTTATCTCTTGCTTCCACTTCCTCGTTCTGCTTTCCCGCTTCTTGTTTCCTTCGTTTCTGAACGGCAGTACACACCTCCCGCACCGGGCAGCAGCAGCTGGTGATGAAGCAACTCACAAGTCATTGTCACTCCACCTCCCTTTCTTTCCCTCACTGCGCCTCGCTTCCTTTCTGAATGGCAGTGAATACCTCCCTCACCCTGCTGCAGCAGCTCGTGGAGCTGCATCAGGTGAGCTTGCATCAGGTAGCCATGTAACCATGTAGCTAGATAATCAGGTAACCATATAACCATGTAGCTAGATAATCAGGTAACCATGTTAGCCTGCCTTGCAGTGTTCACCTCCCTCCTCACCCTGCTGCAGCAGCTGGTGGAACTGCATCAGGTGAGCTTGCCACTGGTTCTGATGTAACCATGTAGTAATGTAACCATGTAGTAATGTAACCTTGTAGTAATGTAACCATGTAGTAATGTAACCATGTAGTAATGTAACCATGTAGTAATGTAACCATGTAGTAATGTAACCATGTAGTAATGTAACCTTGTAGTAATGTAACCATGTAGTAATGTAACCATGTAATAATGTAACCATGTAGTAATGTAACCATGTAGTAATGTAACCATGTAGTAATGTAACGTAATGTAACCATGTAGTAATGTAACCATGTAGTAATGTAACCATGTAGTAATGTAACCTTGCATTGCATTGCACACCTCCCTCACACTGTTGCAGCAGCTGGTGGAGCTGCATCAGGTAACCACGGTTCTATGTAACCATGTCGCCAGATAGTCTTGCTTTACAGTACACACCTCCCTCACCCTGCTGCAGCAGCTGGTGGAACTGCATCAGGTAAGCTTGCAGCAGGTAGCCATGTAATGATGTAACCAGGTAACCATGTAACTATGTTACTATGCAAGATCCAGTGCTTGAAATGGAAGATATTTATCACACTGCCGCCTCACGCTTTCTGTGTGCATGTGCTTTTTGAGAGACCCCCCACGTTTGCATGTGCTTATGTGAGCATGTGTTTATGTTTGCATGTGTTTATGTTTGCATGTGTTTATTTGCTGTTTGCCTTCCCACACATGCAGGAGACAGTGTCTGAAATGGAAGATATCTATCCCGCTGCCGCCTCACGCTTTCTTTGAGAGACCCCCCACCCACGTGTGCATGTTCTTATGTGTGCATGTGCGTACGTGTGCATGTGTTTATGTGTGCATGTGTTTATGTGTGCATGTGTTTATGTGTGCATGTGCATATGTGTTTGCCTTCCCACACATGCAGGAGACAGCGCTTGAAATGGAAGATATTCATCCCGCTGCCGCCTCACGCTTTCTTTGAGAGACCCCCCACGTGTGCATGTGTGCATGTGTGCATGTGTGCATGTGTTCATGTGTTTATGTGTGCATGTGTGCATGTGTTCATGTGTGCATGTGTTCATGTGTGCATGTGTGCATGTGTGCATGTGTGCATGTGTGCATGTGTTCATGTGTTTATGTGTGCATGTGTGCATGTGTTCATGTGTGCATGTGTTCATGTGTGCATGTGTGCATGTGTGCATGTGTGCATGTGTGCATGTGTTCATGTGTGCATGTGTGCATGTGTGCATGTGTGCATGTGTGCATGTGTTCATGTGTGCATGTGTGCATGTGTGCATGTGTTCATGTGTGCATGTGTGCATGTGTTCATGTGTGCATGTGTGCATGTGTTCATGTGTGCATGTGTTCATGTGTGCATGTGTGCATGTGTGCATGTGTGCATGTGTGCATGTGTTCATGTGTTTATGTGTGCATGTGTGCATGTGTTCATGTGTGCATGTGTTCATGTGTGCATGTGTTCATGTGTGCATGTGTGCATGTGTTCATGTGTGCATGTGTGCATGTGTGCATGTGTGCATGTGTGCATGTGTTCATGTGTGCATGTGTTCATGTGTTCATGTGTGCATGTGTTCATGTGTGCATGTGTGCATGTGTTCATGTGTGCATGTGTGCATGTGTTCATGTGTGCATGTGTGCATGTGTGCATGTGTGCATGTGTGCATGTGTTCATGTGTGCATGTGTTCATGTGTGCATGTGTGCATGTGTTCATGTGTGCATGTGTGCATGTGTGCATGTGTGCATGTGTGCATGTGTTCATGTGTTCATGTGTTTATGTGTGCATGTGTTCATGTGTGCATGTGTGCATGTGTTCATGTGTGCATGTGTGCATGTGTTCATGTGTGCATGTGTTCATGTGTGCATGTGTGCATGTGTTCATGTGTGCATGTGTGCATGTGTGCATGTGTGCATGTGTGCATGTGTTCATGTGTGCATGTGTTCATGTGTGCATGTGTGCATGTGTTCATGTGTGCATGTGTGCATGTGTTCATGTGTGCATGTGTGCATGTGTGCATGTGTGCATGTGTGCATGTGTTCATGTGTGCATGTGTTCATGTGTTCATGTGTGCATGTGTTCATGTGTTCATGTGTGCATGTGTTCATGTGTGCATGTGTGCATGTGTGCATGTGTGCATGTGTGCATGTGTTCATGTGTGCATGTGTTCATGTGTTCATGTGTGCATGTGTTCATGTGTTCATGTGTGCATGTGTTCATGTGTGCATGTGTGCATGTGTGCATGTGTGCATGTGTGCATGTGTGCATGTGTTCATGTGTGCATGTGTTCATGTGTTCATGTGTGCATGTGTTCATGTGTGCATGTGTGCATGTGTGCATGTGTGCATGTGTGCATGTGTTCATGTGTGCATGTGTTCATGTGTGCATGTGTGCATGTGTTCATGTGTGCATGTGTGCATGTGTTCATGTGTGCATGTGTGCATGTGTGCATGTGTGCATGTGTGCATGTGTTCATGTGTGCATGTGTTCATGTGTTCATGTGTGCATGTGTTCATGTGTGCATGTGTGCATGTGTTCATGTGTGCATGTGTGCATGTGTTCATGTGTGCATGTGTGCATGTGTTCATGTGTGCATGTGTTCATGTGTTCATGTGTGCATGTGTTCATGTGTTCATGTGTGCATGTGTTCATGTGTGCATGTGTGCATGTGTTCATGTGTGCATGTGTGCATGTGTGCATGTGTGCATGTGTGCATGTGTTCATGTGTGCATGTGTTCATGTGTTCATGTGTGCATGTGTTCATGTGTGCATGTGTGCATGTGTTCATGTGTGCATGTGTGCATGTGTTCATGTGTGCATGTGTGCATGTGTTCATGTGTGCATGTGTGCATGTGTTCATGTGTGCATGTGTTCATGTGTGCATGTGTGCATGTGTTCATGTGTGCATGTGTGCATGTGTTCATGTGTGCATGTGTGCATGTGTTCATGTGTGCATGTGTGCATGTGTTCATGTGTGCATGTGTTCATGTGTTCATGTGTGCATGTGTTCATGTGTTCATGTGTGCATGTGTTCATGTGTGCATGTGTGCATGTGTTCATGTGTGCATGTGTGCATGTGTGCATGTGTGCATGTGTGCATGTGTTCATGTGTGCATGTGTTCATGTGTTCATGTGTGCATGTGTTCATGTGTGCATGTGTGCATGTGTTCATGTGTGCATGTGTGCATGTGTTCATGTGTGCATGTGTGCATGTGTTCATGTGTGCATGTGTGCATGTGTTCATGTGTGCATGTGTGCATGTGTTCATGTGTGCATGTGTTCATGTGTGCATGTGTGCATGTGTTCATGTGTGCATGTGTGCATGTGTTCATGTGTGCATGTGTGCATGTGTTCATGTGTGCATGTGTTCATGTGTGCATGTGTGCATGTGTTCATGTGTGCATGTGTGCATGTGTTCATGTGTGCATGTGTGCATGTGTTCATGTGTGCATGTGTTCATGTGTTCATGTGTGCATGTGTTCATGTGTGCATGTGTGCATGTGTTCATGTGTGCATGTGTGCATGTGTTCATGTGTGCATGTGTGCATGTGTGCATGTGTGCATGTGTGCATGTGTTCATGTGTGCATGTGTTCATGTGTTCATGTGTGCATGTGTTCATGTGTGCATGTGTGCATGTGTTCATGTGTGCATGTGTGCATGTGTTCATGTGTGCATGTGTGCATGTGTTCATGTGTGCATGTGTTCATGTGTTCATGTGTGCATGTGTTCATGTGTTCATGTGTGCATGTGTTCATGTGTGCATGTGTGCATGTGTTCATGTGTGCATGTGTGCATGTGTGCATGTGTGCATGTGTGCATGTGTTCATGTGTGCATGTGTTCATGTGTTCATGTGTGCATGTGTTCATGTGTGCATGTGTGCATGTGTTCATGTGTGCATGTGTGCATGTGTTCATGTGTGCATGTGTGCATGTGTTCATGTGTGCATGTGTGCATGTGTTCATGTGTGCATGTGTTCATGTGTGCATGTGTGCATGTGTTCATGTGTGCATGTGTGCATGTGTTCATGTGTGCATGTGTGCATGTGTTCATGTGTGCATGTGTGCATGTGTTCATGTGTGCATGTGTTCATGTGTTCATGTGTGCATGTGTTCATGTGTTCATGTGTGCATGTGTTCATGTGTGCATGTGTGCATGTGTTCATGTGTGCATGTGTGCATGTGTGCATGTGTGCATGTGTGCATGTGTTCATGTGTGCATGTGTTCATGTGTTCATGTGTGCATGTGTTCATGTGTGCATGTGTGCATGTGTTCATGTGTGCATGTGTTCATGTGTGCATGTGTGCATGTGTTCATGTGTGCATGTGTGCATGTGTTCATGTGTGCATGTGTGCATGTGTTCATGTGTGCATGTGTTCATGTGTGCATGTGTGCATGTGTTCATGTGTGCATGTGTGCATGTGTTCATGTGTGCATGTGTGCATGTGTTCATGTGTGCATGTGTGCATGTGTTCATGTGTGCATGTGTTCATGTGTTCATGTGTGCATGTGTTCATGTGTGCATGTGTGCATGTGTGCATGTGTGCATGTACTTATATCTCTGCCTTCCCACACATGCAGGAGACAGTGTCTGAAATGGAAGATATGTATCACACTGCGCACGCTTGCTTGAGGAGAATCTGCATGCGTCAGCCCAGCCTGCTGGTGATGATGGTGTAACTGTTGCTGGCGGTGCTGTCAATGGTGATAATGCTGGTGCTGGCCGTATTGATTCTGCTTTTAGTGTTGATGATGGTAACGACGACGAGAACCATTTCCGATGAGCAGCAGCAGGGACACGAAGCAGTGTAACAGTGCGTGCTGATGTGGTAACCATGATGGCAGCTGTGCTGGAAATGCTCAAGGAGGACCTTCAAATGAAGGTGCAGATTTGTTCCCCCAGGCTCGTTCATTTTGGTTTTCCCCCTCAAAACATGCTCAAGTTTGTTCCATGTCTCATCCGCCACCTGCTCCCCTCTCACTGTCCCTCTTTCTCCTCTATCCTTTTTTGTTTTCTCTGCTTGTTCTTATCGGATTCAGCTCACCATTGTGGCAGACCTCTCTCTATCCACATCAGCTGCACACATGTCATCATACTCGATGTTATGGCAGCTTCGGCCATTTGTGGATGAAAGGGTAATCAAAGAAGCTAGCAGATGGGCAAGTAGGATGAAGGTTGAAATTGCCAGCTAAAAAACATGGCAGTTTAGATAGCTCTAATGCAAGATATTTCTTTTATTAAATCGAAATTTGGTAGCCATACCATCAATTTAGTTGCCATATATCGTTTGAGTCCTTTTCTACCTGTTATCCATTATGTGTACCTCACAGCGAACCATGTTTATATCGAAAGTCAGCTCAAGAATGGATCATGGCAGAATTGCGAAGCCCCGAAAAACGAATCCATCTAAAATCCAACATCCTCTCCACCTTCCTGCCCTCATTTAGTGCTGTTCTCCCTCTGCCCCACCCCAGCCCAACCAAGCATTGCCCAGCCATGGCTTGCATTCACTCAGATCCTACTTTTATTATATGTGCCTTCAGGCCAAGGATGCCCAGGTTGCCTCTCGCAGCTCACTCGCAGAATGGTGTTGTTCGATCAGTTATGGTGTGATCGTCTGGACGCTCAACCCAAGCACCCCAGCTGCTCCAGGAATGACCGTTTTCAGGATTCACCCCGCAGTGATGCTCTCGATTCTCTTCCCTGAGTCGAATTTGCGGATAATATTCCCATAGAATTTCCATTGTTATTTCTCAGCGACGACGTCCGAAGAAACACTGCCGAAAACTCTGGTGCAGCGAATTCGGGCACGCAATGTCTAGCGCCAGAAAAGTGGCAGCTGTCGCGAGTTTGAAAGCGGCAGCGGAAGAGTCTGCGCGAGAGGTGAGGCCGCCGGGAGGGGGAGTTGGGATTCACACAATTGTTGTAGCTGCCGAGATTCCGTTGTGTACATTGCTTGTGACGAATTACTTTGTTATATCATTTCTCATTTGTTAGATATCTGCACCATTTATCTTGCTCTATGCCAGGCAGATGACGTCAGCGGCAAGGGACAGCATCGAGGAAAGTTCGTGAACGCTCACCAAGCGAGGCTCGCAAAGATCGAGGCGGCCAAGGCCAAGAGAGCAGCAGCCGCTGCTGCCGCGGCCGGTGGTCCTGCTGCTAATTCGGCTTCGAAGTCTGCTAATTCCGCCGATGTTTAGCGAAAGCAAGGTTGGTTTTGTAACTTGCCTGATTCTTTTGTCTCCTTAGTTGCCTTCCGGAGGGGCTGTGGGTTGGAGCTCCCAAGTGCTACGCGTACTTGGGTAGTCGCTCTATTCCATAGTACCATCGCCTCTTAAAGCCGGCCTTCGGGAAGATTTACTGGGACATTGTCAGAAGTGGCATGCCTCTGTGGTGTCCATCTCTTGGATTGTTCCTACAACGAGTTACAGTCACGTTCATTTCAGCCGCATTATTCAATTGCATATCCACTTGGGTTGGGAAACGTTTATGTTCTTGCTTCAGCCCATCTTCCCATCACCAGGTTTTTAACCCCATTGCATCATCGTTCTCTCGTTTTAACCACAACTCTCGTGTTTGTTCTGACGTTGTTTCCGTTGTTCCTCCTACAGGCTAAGCGCATGCTCCATTTCAATGGAAGACAATTTAACTGTATATAGACATAAGAACTAACATATTATAGCCATTTGCTTTGCTGTATACTGCAAGTTTGTTTGCTTTTCTGGGCTACTGTCTATCAGTCACTATCTAGGACAAGTTAGGAATAATCTGTATCGTTAGCCTAATGCATATCTCTTATGTCTTGTCGTCCCATAGCACTTCCAGCCAAGTGGCTGATGCGTTCCGAGGAAGTCGCAAGGCAAATCAAAATCATGTCATGTTCAGACGTGGCAGTCAAACCCTGTAGGGCGTACAAGGGATCAGTCACACTCCGTCATTCAGGCAAAGTCAATTATGCTCCATAGCCGTTTCACTGAACACTCTAAAGGGAATTCCTGCCACCCAAGCAGCGGCGAGTGCGAGTAATTCGTCTCCTAGCGCGGCCAACGAACCCTTTCTTGAACGCTCACCATGGCGCTTCCGACCAGCGATGCGGCTGCTGGTATCCTATGAATCATCTTAGACCACTAGGCGAATCTCCCTCGGGATTGCCGCAACGATTCGTCCTCGAGATAGGGTGACTAGCGAACGCCCGCCATGGCGATTCCGGCCAGCGAAGTGGCGGCGAGTGCAGCGGCCGCGTTCGCTTTCACCGCTGCGAACCGCAGCTGCATCATCGTCAGCCCAAAACAGGTACTCGTAGATGGCTCACAAAGAAAGCGTTTTAAGGATTCGTCAAACGATCATTTCTGCTGCATCATCATCTCGCAGTAATAACAGTGATAATAATAATTTTAGTATAGACCGGATTTCAAATCACTTGGTTCCATGAGGGATGGTAGTGTTATTATTGGTGATATGCTCTCGCCCTCCTCTCCCCCTTCCCTTTCCCCCTTCCGCCTCTGCTCCCATCTGCTCTGCACGGCAGAGGGGCAACCCCGTGCGCGCCGACATCAGGAACGTGAGGTGGGCGTTTGGGGAGATCACGCCCGACTGTCTCCTCTCCCCCTCCTGCGCCCTCTCCCCCTCCTCCTGCGCCCTCTCCCCCTCCTACCCTTCTCACAGAACCGTTCCGTATCCCTCTGATTTGCCCTGCTGTATACCGCAGAGGGGCAACCCCGTGCTTTCGCACATCAGGAACGTGAGATGGGCGTTTGGCGAGATCACGCCCGACTACCTCCTCTCCCCCTCCTCCCCTTCTCATAGAAGCCTTCTTTATCCCCTCTAATGTGCCCTGCCCTGTACTTCAGAGGGGCAATCCCGTGCTTTCTCACATCAGGAACGTGAGATGGGCCTTTGGGGAGATCACGCCCGACTATCTCCTCTCCCCCTCCTCCTGCGCCCTCTTCCTCTCCCTGCGATACCACCTGCTGCACCCAGACTATCTCTACTTTCGAATCAGGTGAATAAAGCTTGTACTGTATCATTCTAAAACGAATCATCCTTCTCTTTCTGTCCCTGCGATACCATCTGCTGCACCCAGACTATCTCTACTTCCGAATCAGGTAAATGCTAGTCTGCATTGGGTTACTTTATAACGAAGCATGCTGCTCTTCCTCTCGCTCCCCGCGATACCACCTGCTGCAACCAGACTATCTCTATTTTCGAATCAGGTCATTAAAGCTTGTACTGTATCAGTCTATAACGGATCATCCTGCTCTTTCTCTTTCTGCAATACCACCTGCTGCAACCAGACTATCTCTATTTTCGAATCAGGTCATTAAAGCTTGTACTGTATCAGTCTATAACGGTTCATCCTGCTCTTTCTCTTTCTGCAATACCACCTGCTGCAACCAGACTATCTCTATTTTCGAATCAGGTCATTAAAGCTTGTACTGTATCAGTCTATAACGGATCATCCTGCTCTTTCTCTTTCTGCAATACCACCTGCTGCAACCAGACTATCTCTATTTTCGAATCAGGTCATTAAAGCTTGTACTGTATCAGTCTATAACGGTTCATCCTGCTCTTTCTCTTTCTGCAATACCACCTGCTGCAACCAGACTATCTCTATTTTCGAATCAGGTCATTAAAGCTTGTACTGTATCAGTCTATAACGGTTCATCCTGCTCTTTCTCTTTCTGCAATACCACCTGCTGCAACCAGACTATCTCTATTTTCGAATCAGGTCATTAAAGCTTGTACTGTATCAGTCTATAACGGATCATCCTGCTCTTTCTCTTTCTGCAATACCACCTGCTGCAACCAGACTATCTCTATTTTCGAATCAGGTCATTAAAGCTTGTACTGTATCAGTCTATAACGGTTCATCCTGCTCTTTCTCTTTCTGCAATACCACCTGCTGCAACCAGACTATCTCTATTTTCGAATCAGGTCATTAAAGCTTGTACTGTATCAGTCTATAACGGATCATCCTGCTCTTTCTCTTTCTGCAATACCACCTGCTGCAACCAGACTATCTCTATTTTCGAATCAGGTCATTAAAGCTTGTACTGTATCAGTCTATAACGGATCATCCTGCTCTTTCTCTTTCTGCAATACCACCTGCTGCAACCAGACTATCTCTATTTTCGAATCAGGTCATTAAAGCTTGTACTGTATCAGTCTATAACGGATCATCCTGCTCTTTCTCTTTCTGCAATACCACCTGCTGCAACCAGACTATCTCTATTTTCGAATCAGGTCATTAAAGCTTGTACTGTATCAGTCTATAACGGTTCATCCTGCTCTTTCTCTTTCTGCAATACCACCTGCTGCAACCAGACTATCTCTATTTTCGAATCAGGTCATTAAAGCTTGTACTGTATCAGTCTATAACGGTTCATCCTGCTCTTTCTCTTTCTGCAATACCACCTGCTGCAACCAGACTATCTCTATTTTCGAATCAGGTCATTAAAGCTTGTACTGTATCAGTCTATAACGGATCATCCTGCTCTTTCTCTTTCTGCAATACCACCTGCTGCAACCAGACTATCTCTATTTTCGAATCAGGTCATTAAAGCTTGTACTGTATCAGTCTATAACGGTTCATCCTGCTCTTTCTCTTTCTGCAATACCACCTGCTGCAACCAGACTATCTCTATTTTCGAATCAGGTCATTAAAGCTTGTACTGTATCAGTCTATAACGGATCATCCTGCTCTTTCTCTTTCTGCAATACCACCTGCTGCAACCAGACTATCTCTATTTTCGAATCAGGTCATTAAAGCTTGTACTGTATCAGTCTATAACGGTTCATCCTGCTCTTTCTCTTTCTGCAATACCACCTGCTGCAACCAGACTATCTCTATTTTCGAATCAGGTCATTAAAGCTTGTACTGTATCAGTCTATAACGGATCATCCTGCTCTTTCTCTTTCTGCAATACCACCTGCTGCAACCAGACTATCTCTATTTTCGAATCAGGTCATTAAAGCTTGTACTGTATCAGTCTATAACGGTTCATCCTGCTCTTTCTCTTTCTGCAATACCACCTGCTGCAACCAGACTATCTCTATTTTCGAATCAGGTCATTAAAGCTTGTACTGTATCAGTCTATAACGGATCATCCTGCTCTTTCTCTTTCTGCAATACCACCTGCTGCAACCAGACTATCTCTATTTTCGAATCAGGTCATTAAAGCTTGTACTGTATCAGTCTATAACGGTTCATCCTGCTCTTTCTCTTTCTGCAATACCACCTGCTGCAACCAGACTATCTCTATTTTCGAATCAGGTCATTAAAGCTTGTACTGTATCAGTCTATAACGGTTCATCCTGCTCTTTCTCTTTCTGCAATACCACCTGCTGCAACCAGACTATCTCTATTTTCGAATCAGGTCATTAAAGCTTGTACTGTATCAGTCTATAACGGATCATCCTGCTCTTTCTCTTTCTGCAATACCACCTGCTGCAACCAGACTATCTCTATTTTCGAATCAGGTCATTAAAGCTTGTACTGTATCAGTCTATAACGGTTCATCCTGCTCTTTCTCTTTCTGCAATACCACCTGCTGCAACCAGACTATCTCTATTTTCGAATCAGGTCATTAAAGCTTGTACTGTATCAGTCTATAACGGATCATCCTGCTCTTTCTCTTTCTGCAATACCACCTGCTGCAACCAGACTATCTCTATTTTCGAATCAGGTCATTAAAGCTTGTACTGTATCAGTCTATAACGGATCATCCTGCTCTTTCTCTTTCTGCAATACCACCTGCTGCAACCAGACTATCTCTATTTTCGAATCAGGTCATTAAAGCTTGTACTGTATCAGTCTATAACGGATCATCCTGCTCTTTCTCTTTCTGCAATACCACCTGCTGCAACCAGACTATCTCTATTTTCGAATCAGGTCATTAAAGCTTGTACTGTATCAGTCTATAACGGATCATCCTGCTCTTTCTCTTTCTGCAATACCACCTGCTGCAACCAGACTATCTCTATTTTCGAATCAGGTCATTAAAGCTTGTACTGTATCAGTCTATAACGGTTCATCCTGCTCTTTCTCTTTCTGCAATACCACCTGCTGCAACCAGACTATCTCTATTTTCGAATCAGGTCATTAAAGCTTGTACTGTATCAGTCTATAACGGTTCATCCTGCTCTTTCTCTTTCTGCAATACCACCTGCTGCAACCAGACTATCTCTATTTTCGAATCAGGTCATTAAAGCTTGTACTGTATCAGTCTATAACGGTTCATCCTGCTCTTTCTCTTTCTGCAATACCACCTGCTGCAACCAGACTATCTCTATTTTCGAATCAGGTCATTAAAGCTTGTACTGTATCAGTCTATAACGGATCATCCTGCTCTTTCTCTTTCTGCAATACCACCTGCTGCAACCAGACTATCTCTATTTTCGAATCAGGTCATTAAAGCTTGTACTGTATCAGTCTATAACGGTTCATCCTGCTCTTTCTCTTTCTGCAATACCACCTGCTGCAACCAGACTATCTCTATTTTCGAATCAGGTCATTAAAGCTTGTACTGTATCAGTCTATAACGGATCATCCTGCTCTTTCTCTTTCTGCAATACCACCTGCTGCAACCAGACTATCTCTATTTTCGAATCAGGTCATTAAAGCTTGTACTGTATCAGTCTATAACGGATCATCCTGCTCTTTCTCTTTCTGCAATACCACCTGCTGCAACCAGACTATCTCTATTTTCGAATCAGGTCATTAAAGCTTGTACTGTATCAGTCTATAACGGATCATCCTGCTCTTTCTCTTTCTGCAATACCACCTGCTGCAACCAGACTATCTCTATTTTCGAATCAGGTCATTAAAGCTTGTACTGTATCAGTCTATAACGGATCATCCTGCTCTTTCTCTTTCTGCAATACCACCTGCTGCAACCAGACTATCTCTATTTTCGAATCAGGTCATTAAAGCTTGTACTGTATCAGTCTATAACGGTTCATCCTGCTCTTTCTCTTTCTGCAATACCACCTGCTGCAACCAGACTATCTCTATTTTCGAATCAGGTCATTAAAGCTTGTACTGTATCAGTCTATAACTGTTCATCCTGCTCTTTCTCTTTCTGCAATACCACCTGCTGCAACCAGACTATCTCTATTTTCGAATCAGGTCATTAAAGCTTGTACTGTATCAGTCTATAACGGATCATCCTGCTCTTTCTCTTTCTGCAATACCACCTGCTGCAACCAGACTATCTCTATTTTCGAATCAGGTCATTAAAGCTTGTACTGTATCAGTCTATAACGGATCATCCTGCTCTTTCTCTTTCTGCAATACCACCTGCTGCAACCAGACTATCTCTATTTTCGAATCAGGTCATTAAAGCTTGTACTGTATCAGTCTATAACGGATCATCCTGCTCTTTCTCTTTCTGCAATACCACCTGCTGCAACCAGACTATCTCTATTTTCGAATCAGGTCATTAAAGCTTGTACTGTATCAGTCTATAACGGATCATCCTGCTCTTTCTCTTTCTGCAATACCACCTGCTGCAACCAGACTATCTCTATTTTCGAATCAGGTCATTAAAGCTTGTACTGTATCAGTCTATAACGGATCATCCTGCTCTTTCTCTTTCTGCAATACCACCTGCTGCAACCAGACTATCTCTATTTTCGAATCAGGTCATTAAAGCTTGTACTGTATCAGTCTATAACGGATCATCCTGCTCTTTCTCTTTCTGCAATACCACCTGCTGCAACCAGACTATCTCTATTTTCGAATCAGGTCATTAAAGCTTGTACTGTATCAGTCTATAACGGATCATCCTGCTCTTTCTCTTTCTGCAATACCACCTGCTGCAACCAGAC